TCGTGACTTTTAGTTTACTAAATGTTTTGAATAATTTTCAGACTTTGATCAAAGTTTCTTCCGAGAGAAATCACACAATAGTGATCCCTTTTCCAATTGAACTGGCAAGACATGTGATTAAAAAGATTGAAGCAATGCATACAAAGAAATCTTGATATTAAAAAAGTTTTCTTTTACAAAAGATTAGTAATAAATCTAGAGAACAGTCAATTTCCACAAATGCATTCAACTTTTACAACTTTTCCTTCACCAGCAACTCGAAAGTTTTGATTTCTTGAGGGCTGAGACGAACAGTTAGATCTAGAACTTGAATTTGAAGCTTTTTTTGAGCTTTTGAGATTGAAGCTTTTTTTGATATTGATCTTGATCTTGTTCTGATTTGATTTTGATCTTGTTCTGATTTGATTTTGATCTTGTTCTGATTTGATTTTGATCTTGATCTTGATCTGCTTTGATTTGGTCTTGATTTGGTCTTGATCTGATCTTGATCTGATCTTGATCTTGATTTGATCTTGATCTTGATCTTGATCTGCTTTGATTTGATCTTGATTTTGATCTGATTTGCTTTTGATTTGATCTTGATCTTGATCTGATTTGATTTTGATCTTTTCAACTAACCATTTCCTCGCATTATCTGTGTCCCAGTGACGTTTCGATTTCCCGCTAGAGTCAACTCTTTTGCCGCAATGATATCAAAGTTATTGAATAGTCCCTAAAGATCTTAAATTGATCTTTTATTTAATCAACTTTACCGTTAAATCAATATCCATTGGTCGTGAAACAGTTGAACTTTCATCTCCTTGAAAGATATGTTCAAGTCTTAACAAAAGATTTGTCGATCCCTTCTTCTCTAATGTCAACAAATTTACAGAAGATGGAAGGCTACGAGTCAATCCAGCGAACTGAAGATTATTATTGAATTTTTCTAAGTTTTTGACTTTAAAACTAACTCTAGTGGGTAAATTTTCTCGATAATCGCTTGCATTTGTAACAGATGCAAAAGCGAGAATCGGTTCATTGAATTTTTGAACAGCTAAAGGCCGATGAACCATTGCAGCATCCTAGAAATGACTTTAAATCAAAATTTCACAAAAAAAGACTTACCTTACTAGCAGTCAAAAGCAACCAATGAGATCCTCTAATCACTAAACCCTTTCCATCTTTTCCTGGCTCATTCAAAGCCTCATCTACACCCCAATGATCATCAGTGTAACAACGACGATGAAGCTAGACTCAATGCCTTATTTTTTTGTACTTAAACAAACCATAATCTCAATTAATCCATTTCTGCTTGTCACTCCTTGTGCTCGATCAGTGAGAACAGTGCATTGAGTTTTATCATCACGAATAAAAACTCGATTTGTCGTTGGATAATAGTTTCCAGCAACTGGTTCTGTATCTTGATAAGGGAATGACGGATGGAAGTTGACCCTAGAAACAATTGCTCATTTAAAACCTTTTCCAATTACTTTCTCTTCATCATTTGTCTACCATTCGAATCAGTGAAGAATTCTCCTTGACTGTTGATTTCAGTGAAATATCTTGTGACAACTTCTCGGCTGATTGGATCTCTGAAAAAAAATTAAGTGAAAATCTTTCACACTCACTTTTCCTCTTTGTGAATCGGCCCAATCACCCAATCAAATTCAACCCTTGAGCTATTTGCATACAATCGAATCGTTTGATACACCCAATTATCAATAATTTGACGAACTTCTTGAACCAATAATCCCTGGATTCGGCTTTTAAGCATTAGAGCATTAGATTTCGATTACCTTTACAACTTCTAGTTTACAAGTGGCACCGATTGCTGAAGCATTTTGATGTAATGGTCGGAAGATGTAGGCTCCAGTGGGCTGAGTGTCGTTCCATTTAGTGACACCCTAAAAATCTTTATTTTGAAATATAGTCTTTGTTCCAATTGCTTAGCTACCTCATAGAAGTAGAATTCTTGATGTAGAGCTTTGCTGGTGTTTGTCGTTTTGTCAAAGACAGATTCTAAGGATCCATTATCGTTGAAATCGAGTCGAAGGACCTAAATTCAAAAAGTATTGTAACGGCTAGGACGATGGACAATGAAACTACTGGACAATGAAATATCACAGTTGAAAAACGATCATCACTTTCACCCGTCTGTAACTCCCTTGTCTTTACCGTATTTCTAAATATTAATATTACCATTGTGTAGCCATTGAAAAGAGCTTTCAGAAAATGTTTAAACTCACTAATAGTTTAAACTCAAAGACAAGGGAGTTACAGACGCGCGAAAGTGACGATCGTGTTTCAAATATATTATTTCATTGTTCAGTACTGTATTTTTGAACGTTCTTCACCTCGTTCTCGATAAAAACTTTGTCATTAGCTTTTGGGTAAATTGCCATCCGAGGAGTGAAAAGCCTAAAGAATTTCAACTTTTTGATACTGTTTTTCTTCTACCGAAGAGCTGATTGTTGCACAAAATATGTTCTAAATCCTAATGGATCCAATGTGACTGGAATGGCCAATTCAAAAGGAGCAGTTTCTGTTGAAGAGATTGTCGGCACTTGGAAAGTCTTTGAGATCTAAAAACTTTTAGATAGACTTTTAGATAAATTTAGATTTTAGAGAACTAGAACTAAAAGCCGATGCTCTCTCTAGTTTTCTTTAGCTTCTTTATCTTTGATCTATTATCTACTCTACCTGAACTTTGATCGCATTTCCCTTATCATCTGTCACCGTGGCTCCACTTTGATGATACGGAATTCGCACAATTTTATCCACAGTTTGCCCAAGTGGATTGAAAATCGTGACAGCAAAAGAAGCTTGTCTAAAAGCTTGTCTATTTTTGCTTAGACAATTGATATTTTAAACTTTGTCTCCTCGCAAACGGTTTCGTTCATTAAAAGGCACATCTTATGAAATGGAAGTTTGGCTTTGGTTTTCGGGATTTTGTTCAAAGCATCATTGATGATTGTCTAATGAAATTTGATCAATAATAGAATTAAATAGAATTCGATAATAGAATTCAAGTAAATTTCAATTTAATATATTCAATTTAAGAACTTTTATCAACTACCTCAAGTTCTAGAGCTCCTCGATGCAATTGGTACTCGTAATCCTTTGTGACGTTTTCTCGAGCTGTTCCACTAAAGTTTACTTACAGTTATTGCTCTTGTTTTGCAGTCAAAGTTAACAAATACTTAGAGAAATCTGTTTCAAAACAATCTATCATCAAAGCTTACGTGACAGCATCATGATGTTGATTTAAAGCCGATGCTTTCTTCATCACTTCCACATCGCTGTCATCCATTGGTCCCAAGAAGAAATTAGCATCAAGTTGTTTAGCTAACTGTAAAAGATTGTTCTAAATGAAAACTTAACTTTTACTGTACTTGAAGGTATTGACTGGCTTGTCGAATCATTCTTTTGAACGCCGGTTTACTAGTGAAATATCCCGTCCAAAAGCTGTGAGCACTCGAAGCATATCTATTGATATTAGCCATTCTATTTGCATTAATAAGAGTTTCAATTGAATATTATGATTTTTCTGTTATTAATATTTTGTTTTTCTTTAGCATTTGCTGGGAACTGTTCTTGGGATATAAGTCTTAAATATTGGGTTGGTGAATTGAAAACTGCGGGATTTTTAACCAAAAATTTGTTGAAAATAAAACCATCGATTCATTCCAAATAATTTCCATTATTATTGACAACTTCTGCCCATTTTACAGGCAATTTGCGGATTCCTCTTTCGTAGTAGGATTTTGGTTTGTGTGTGAGGCAAGTGTGAGACTCAAAAATGGAGGACTGGAGAAGTCACAGTTTGAGCACTTTCTTCAAAAGAAACCCATTTTTGTGTCAATAGAAAAGTTGTAGAGAATCAAAAATTAAGTTTATATCCAAATTTTCAGAACGATTCAAAAACTGGTTTTCAAGAAATGCCAAATGTACGAATTTTCACAAAACTTGCATTTGAAGCGAAACTACTAAGTGTATCTTTTTGGAAATTTGGCTATAAGCCTAATTTTTGATTCTCTACAACTTTTCTATTGACACCAAAATGGGTTTCTTTTGAAGAAAGTGCTCAAACTGATCATCTCCAGGACGTCTCCAGTCCTCGATTTTTGAGTCTCACACACAAACCAAAATCCTACTACGAAAGAGGAATCCGCAAATTGCCTGTAAAATGGGCAGAAGTCGTCAATAATAATGGAAATTATTTGCAATGAATTCATGGGTTTTCGGTTGAATAAATTTTAGTTCAAAGTCCCGCAGTTTTCAATTCACCAACCCAATTGATTTTTAAAATGAAGCCTGAAGGCCTTTAGGCTTTAACTAGGCTTTAAATTTTATATGAAACATGTTTTCCATTGTATCATTAACATGTTTAACATATCAATAAGATTATCATAAAAGTATACGGAAAGAAATCGTCATTCTTGTTATCCAAATGAGGAGCAGCTTCAGTGACTGCACTCACATAACAAGATGGAGTTGAATAGAAAACATTGATATTTAATTTTTTCTGTAAATCAAATCAACAAATACATTTTCATTTATAAAGCTTACATTCGCATTGACAAATTTGATTAACTTGTCCATATTCTCATACCATGGATTAGCATTTGTGTATTGAAAATCACTGCCCATCAATAACATTACATGATTGTGTCGTTGAAAAGTTGTCTATTTTTGAGTGATTAATTTTACATTTTAATTTTATTACCTGATTTTTTACATATTTAACAAAATCATCCACTTTCTTATCAACATTATAGCCCATTAACTCAGGATTGTCCATGATCGGATCATCACCGCAAAGCGCGTCCCAACAGAAACCTGGTGGTGGGCCATAGTTATCTTGGAAAAAAGCACCGGTGAGAAGTTGGGTTTCTAAAGAATTGAACTTTATTTTAAATCTTTAAATATTACTTAAGTCTTCTGATCCACTCCAGACAAACTCAAGGCTTTTATTTTGAAGTCGACGATCTTTCTCCAAATAGTGCATACGAGCAAAGAAAACTGATGTGTAGCCCATCTAAATCGATTTGCCGTTTACTGAATAAGCTTACAAATTAAGCTATTGATCAATTGCCGTTATGGTCAACTGGCTAAGAGCCATTTATCTTAGTCGAAAGGTCAAGGGTTCAATATGTATATTGGAATAAACACCGCCTTTTTAGGTAATAGTTTTCCTGACTTGCAGTCAAGGAAACTTCTCAATAGCACTAATTCTACTTGTTATATTCAAAACTACAACACTGAAACTACTGCTTCTACTGTGCATTCAGATTCGAAAAAAGTCCGAGTCCCTCCCAGTCACTTGCCAAAGAAGCCAACTCGATACGCGATACTTACAACGACAATCCCCATTCGAAGTCTAATTTTTCATAGATCAGCAAGTTTCGATGCTCTCTCTCTGATGTTTTTATTTTCTATTTATACCGCTCCTTTACCCCATCCACCATCGTGAATCTACGCAGCGACAGAGATAGAGAATCTATGTCAGATCGCGCAGACAGAATCGGCTAGATTCTCGGTTCTTTTTTCCTACATAGGCTTATGGGTTGTGCTTATGCATTGTTTGTAGCACGTGATTCGTCTGAATAAAGATACTAATTATAAGCATTGTACATTGTACCTAATTGTACCATTATATTAGTACCATTGCATAGAGATTTGCCATCTCTTTGCTGTGCCCAAACGGATCGATCTGCCAGCCAACCGTCGGTTTACCACAATCTCCATAGAATCGCTCGAGTTTTTCCAAGCTAAATTCAGGCAATACGTTTTATAGTTCTAGAAAATCATTCCTGTTTACCCTAGAGTCATTTGATCAATGATGTCGATGTAGTGAGAAGCGGCCTCATCATTTTGTACCCATCCACCACCGATCATCTCGATTTGGCCTAAAGTTTTTACCAAAAATTGCTGATAGATTGTGAGTTATTATGATAATATTGTTTATTTCAATATTGTTTATTTAAATATTGTTTATTTCAATATTGTTTATTTATTAATCTGCTAACTACTGACCAGTTTTGATCAACTTTTGTAAGCGATGCTTCTCATAGTCGCTGTGGGATGAGGTCCATCGATGAAGAAAGCCCGTTTCAGCAAATGAAAACCTAAAAAACAATCTTTCATTAACAATTCATTAGTTCAAGACACTATTTTTCCATTTTTAATTTACTTTACAAACAAACTTTCGGTCCGGATGCTTTTCTAGCTCGTCAATCACTGTGTTGTAGATGTACTGGACACCAACTGGCACCAAACCGGGTTTTGCTGAAAATTTGTATTCACTAAAGTTCTGAAGATTTACCTCCATAGTAATATTCATCGACAGTTTTAATCCATCCGAGATCATCATGAGTGTGCGGAATCAAATGCACATTGATCACGTTTTTGTCTTTTGACCAAGGATTGCATCTCTAAAAATAAGTTTATACTGTAAACTTTTGTAAAATTTATAGTTTATACTGTAAGTTTATCCTGTAAACCTCTAAATTTAGCATAACTTTTTAATTATTTTGCTAGAAGAAAAAAAACTACAGAGTGGGCCAAAAGTTCCCATACTTGTATTTTCTGCATTTTTGGTAATTTTAGATAAAAGATACGATTTTAAAAGTAAGAAATTCGAATTCCTCGCCAAAAACTGATTTAGAAAACGTTTCTGATTAATTTATAAGTGCAACGCTATTTAAGACAAGTGATTGAGAAGAGGATCCTCTCAGGGGCGCTTTGGTCGCACAGCTACAGGGCACAGCTACAGGGCACAGCTACAGGGCACAGTTACAGGGCACAGTTACAGGGCACAGCTACAGGGCACAGCTACAGGGCACAGTTACAGGGCACAGTTACAGGGCACAGTTACAGGGCACAGTTACAGGGCACAGCTACAGGGCACAGTTACAGTTATTTCCTTTGATGGAAATTTGGATGGGAAAACCAAGTTCTAACCTGACTTCTGACTCGGTCGTTGACCAAAACTTTATACACCCAATATAAAAAACGTCGCATTTTATGTCTAGTTTTCGAAGAACATCTTGGCTCTTGAAGATCTTATGATCCATAAAAGTTATAGGCCTGAAGCCTCAGAAAAATGTGTAACTGTGCGACCAAAGCGCCCCTGAGCAGATCCTCTTCTCAATCACTTGTCTTAAATAGTGTTGCACTTATAAATTAATCAGAAACGTTTTCTAAATCGGCTTTTCGCGAGGAATTTGAATTTCTTACTTTTAAGATCGTATCTTTTATCTAAAATTACCAAAAATGCAGAAAATACAAGTACAGGAACTTTTGGCGCAGCCTGTATTTAAGACTTACATCCCAAGAACAGTTCCCAGCAAATGCTGAAGAAAAACAAAATATTAATAACAGAAAGATCATAATATTCAATTGAAACTCTTATCAATGCAAATAGAATGGCTAATATCAATTGCTCTAGGCTCTCCTTTTGAGACAATTCTGATGCTGATATCCAATGTTCAAATACACATTGAACGATCGAATTTCATTTGAAATTTCCCACCAATTGTTTCTTTCAATGTTTGTAAACAGTGCTTTTCGTTTTGTTTAACGGGAAACGAACTGATTACATTCATTGACTGTCTACAGTGAATAATCAATTGTTTTAGAATTGTTCAAGAATGAAGATTGAAAGGAATCGAATGTTCAAATCTTTGTTCTAACAATTGTTCAAACAATTGAAAGGAATAAAAGAAAATTGAATGATTTGCTGATTGAAAATTGACTGATACAAGTTGGCTTTTTAAGTTTGAGTTCTGATTTCTTGAATCATTCAGATCCATTGATTGATCAAAGGAATCTAATTCTGGATTTTGATAAGTAAAATTTCATCTTGTAATTCACCTCTACTTCTGCTTTTTTGAATTTTAAATCCACTTCATTGCTCTACGACTTTCAGATTTAGTGAGCATGAGTTTGCTTTTCAATTTCATAACTTCAAAACCAACGTCTTTTCTTGTTTATTCAAGCATTATCCTTTCCTGAAAGTTATCTTTTTGATCAGTACTGCTAGTACAATTTCGACAAGCACACTTTTCAAACACTTTTCGCACTTTTTGAAAAGTACAAGTGCTTGCCCACCAAGAGGAGGTCGAGGACTTAATGCTCCAGAAGGATGCTCCAGCAATAAGCCGAGTGAATTTTCGGTGGCTAATCTTTCAAACTGGAACGCACAACGGGGATTAACCACTAAATACAGATACGAGGAAGAGATCGAGTTGATGTTGCAGAAAGTCAGCCAACTCGAGAAGGCCAAGAGTCGCTTGGCTGCTCAGGTTGGCCATTTTAGAGTCAAATCTGTAAAATAGTCCGCAGATTCTCGTTGTTTATCGTCGATTTGGAGAAAGCTAACGCCGCGATTGCCCCTGTTTCGAAAAAACGAAAGAAAATTTTCCTGAAACTTTTCACTTTTCCTAAATAGGTTTTTCATTGAAAATAGAGAAATGCTTTGACTAGGGAGTGTCTCCCCAAATCTATACAAGCTAGATCACATGGAAATAGAGAAATTTCTCTTAAGATAGGCTTTCCATTGCATTCAATGGTCGTTCACTGGAGAAAAGGCTGTAACAACACGTGGTCTTCATCTCTCTCTCTCTCTCTTTCTCTTTCTCTTTCTCTTTCTCTTTCTCTTTCTCTTTCTCTTTCTCTCTCTCTCTCTCTTGGACATTCTTTTCCTCTCCGATCGAATGATTCCCCGGGATTGGATACTCACAAACAGCCTCCCCATCAATGCATCAATAAAATAAAGATTTGGAAAATGTTTAGCATTTGAAAATTGTCATATTTATAAGTATTAGGTAAATACCCACACAGTACCCACACAGTTGTGCTTAAAGTTTGAAAGCTAGAAATTAGATATAAAATCTTGAGTAACTATTAGGTAAATGCATAAGAAATGCGGATTTCAACATTTTCATAAATTCCCAAAGATAGAAACCTAATATCGATGAATGTTATAAACTATTTGAAAGTTGTAAATCTCCTCTACAAAATAAGCTAAAACGTGTTTTAATTGATCGAATCATTGAGGAAATTTCGAGGGCGAAATGCGAGTGACCAAAAAAAGGGCACTTTTTGAAAACCCCACTTTCACAAGAGTTCCGTTTTGACTATATAGTGGAAAATGAGCGCCAAAATAAAATATCATTCAAAATAATTAAGAGTTGGGATCATTTCATGGGAAAACTTTCTTTTTTGTGAAAAAGCCGGTTTTTTGACAATTTTGAGGGTTTTCGACTTACGCTCTATCTAAATTTCTGTAAATGCATTTCTGTTAGACTTTTTTAAATGAATTGATATATAGTTATCCTTTTTTTTTAATCTACAATTTTGGGAAGCTAACTCTATTTTGACCACACTAAACTTGTCCCTAAAGTGACTCGATTCCTTTTTTGGTCACTCGCATTTCGCGCTCGAAATCTCTTGAATGGTTCGATCAATTGAAACACGCTTTAGCCTATTTTGTAGAGGAGATTTACAACTTTCAAATAGTTTATAACATTCATCGATCATATCATCGACATCAGGTTTCTATCGTTGAAAATTTATGAAAATGTTGAAATCCGCATTTCTTATGCATTTACCTAATATAAAGAGCTTTAAACATTTAAAAAAGATATTTAAACAATTAGATATTTATTTTTCTATATAAATATTGAAAAAAATTACCGAATTCAGTTTTTGGATCGTAAACAGCCGTGCATTTATAGGTAACATGAGCGCCCTCGGGAGATAGACACTGAAAAGCTCATAGATTTTCACTTAAAAGACTTGGTTGATTTTGCCCACACTAAACTTGTCCCTAAAGTGACTCGATTCCTTTTTTTGGTCACTCGCATTTCGCGCTCAAAATTTCCTCAATGATTCGATCAATTGAAACATGTTTTAGCCTATTTTGTAGAGGAGATTTACAACTTTCAAATAGTTTATAACATTCATCGATCATATCATCGATATCAGGTTTCTATCATTGGAAATTTATGAAAATGTTGAAATACGCATTTTTTAGGCGTGTTCTTAATAGATAAAGTTGAAGAGGTCGTTGAGATCGTTGGGATTCGTTTGTTGGCTAAAAATTCATAACCAGAAGATTGTTTTGACTCATTGCTAGCTTTAAAAACCAAAATTCACTGTTTATTTCAAATACCTAAATCAAATTTATCAAATTAAAACAAATTTGATTGCAGGTTGTGAAGAATTTTCAACCATGAATCAGTGACCGTCAAAAGTCTTTGATGTTCTCTTAGTCATTGAGATTTTCGATTCCCAATTAACACAGTCACCTTTCAGACATAAACAAGAGAGATTTTTTTCTGGAATGTTATCAAAAATCACGAAAAATCGGAGAAATTGAGAAAACCCCAAGATTTTTTTCTTTTCTGGTATTTTTCTATTTTGCTAGATTTGAGAAAAGGTGCTTGAAGGTCATTGCACATGTGGACGCAGGAAAATTAGGAAAAAGGGCCTTGAGTTGAAGAGGAGAATTCTAAAAAGGTAAGGAGTTAAAAAGAGTTAAATAGGAAAACATTGTACTTGTTCAACTTGTTCAAGATTAGTTGAATAGTTGAGTTGATTGATTTCTGATCAACACACCGTTTTTCATTCATTTAAGCTCATCAATAAGCAGAAAGTATTTAGATCTCACTTTGTTAGAACATTGAATCAGTTGAAAAGTTGATCGTACCACACATTTTATTCATGACGACTACTGTATTTTCTCTAATAGAGTGCACCCTGAGCGTCGCCTTAATTCCTCGAAATCTCGAGAAACGCTTAGCAGAACCTATCGATATGGGGTCGGAAAATGTAGCTGACAATGAGATCTAGTGGGAGATTTGAGTGTTGAGCTTCTGCAAAAGCCTGGAAACCGTAAAATAGTCACCAACTCGGCACTACTATTAGGGACAATATGGTAACTATTCCATTCCCGGTTTGGGTATTCACAAAACCCTATTTTCTCTAATAGTAGTGCACCCTAAATTGCTAAATTGAAGTCGCCTAAATTGCTTCGAAATCTTAAAAGCCGCTTATTAGAACCTATCGATGTGGGGTCGGAAAATGTAGATGACGATGAGCTCTTTTGGGGATAAGAGTGTTGAATCTCTCCGAAAACTTGGAAACCGTAAAATAGTCACCAACTCGGCTCAGTGAGGTGCACTACTATTAGAGAAAATACGGTATTTACCTCGTTAGGCAATTATTCACAATTACTATATGTTCATAAAGCCTTTTCAAATCTCTTTAGCTTTGTTTATTTTCCATTCCCAAAACAATAACCAGTCATTTTCCCAATATTTCCATCAATAGCAATTTTCGGAGCTGAAAATCCCGCTGTTTCGCTCAAAAATCGTGCATAGCTTTATTGTGGTGAAAGTTGGGGAAAAGGGAAGTGCAATTATATTCGAATAAAGGTATGACAATGGAAAAAGCCAGGCTGTTTTGAAAACCGCTTTACTTTTTTAGGCGTTGAATTGGTAGAAACAAGTTATTGTTGTTTCTAATGTTTAGAGATGTGAATCAACTCATGACAAGACTCATCTTTTGTATTCAAACATTTATAAACATCACATTGTCTTCCATTCAGCTCATCGCAAAACAAGATGTCTTAAAATAATAATAATTTATCATTGTGCACTCTTGTTATGATTGTTGGATATCTTTTTCTTGTTGACCACTTCTCTCAACAAATTTTATATTTCAATTCTTGCCAGCCAGACAGCTGTTTCTCATTATTTCTTTTATTTATTGATTTGCAAGAGAGAACATTTCATTCATTAAATATTAATAATCAAGGAGAAAGGATTGATTCTGTTTGAATAATTGACTTTTTATTGTTAGTATTTCAAATGTACTCTAGCACTTGAAAAGGTTTAATCTTTGAACTTCTAAAGTAGAAAGCTAGGAAAGTAGAAAGACAACAGCTGTCAAGGGATTGGAATCGGATCTCTTTCATAGAAAATAATGACTCATTTAAACTGTGAGATTGGTCAGGGAACAGTGAAAAGTTTAAAACTTTAAACTCAGGCTTAGGCTTAGGCTCAGACTTAGGGTTAGGCTCAGGCTCAAGATCAGGCTCAGGCTTAGGCTCAGGCTCAGGCTCAGGCTTAGGCTCAGGCTTAGGCTCAGGCTTAGGCTCAGGCTTAGGCTCAGGCTTAGGCTCAGGCTTAGGCTCAGGCTTAGGCTCAGGCTCAGGCTTAGGCTCAGGCTCAGGCTTAGGCTCAGGCTTAGGCTCAGGAACAGTGAAAAGTTTAAAACTTTAATTCTATAAAATAAATCATAGATTTTACCTGGTTTTCTGAACCAAAAAGCAGGAATTTTATGTCTCTTATGGGTTCTTAGTTGAATTGATGATCCCAGATAAAGATCGTTCTCCTCTTTATTCATCAAGATATCAAGGCTGAATAAAAAGGATAATACTCATTCAGCTACTCATTCAACCCATAACCCATAACTCATTGTCAGCCCAGCAGATGGCCTTTATCTCTGCAGATCACACATTCAACACTGACCCTCACTTTGTTTGTCGCCGAAATTCACCAAACGACTCATCCTCCAATCTCCAGTCTTCTTTTTACTCTTTATTATAAATTCTATTCAAAAATCATCCCTCAATACTTAAGTTTAAAATCTATGATTTCCAAATTTCAACTTTTTTTACAAACAAGGTCAAAACAGTTAACGATTCTCTCTGACTCATTCGGTATTTCTGCATTTTTCCTCTTCGACTTTTCCCCATCATCGTTTACTCGTTCTCTCAATTGTTTTTGTCCGGAAATTTTTTTTTGTGGCCTATAGGAGGATAGGAGAGAGATGGACGAGGAAAAGGGGATGAGGATGGGCTGAATGCCAATGTGCCTCTCTTTCTTTGTATGATTTATGTGCAGATGTCGAAGAAGAAATACAAGAAAATCAGAGGTTTGAGAAGAGCTGTGAATCTAGAGAACAGAGAGAATTGAAGAAAAATCAGCCAAAGATTGGGATAATCAAGAGGCAAAAGGATTTAGTGATGTTGAAAGAGAGAGTTAGAGATCTAGAAGTTAGAGAGGTAAAAGAATTTTAGGGAACTATAGAAATGCTCGAAAAGAGTTAGATCCCTAGAAGTTAGATGGAAAAAAAAGAGAAGAGTTATTTCCAGGCAGAATGGGCGGAGTCCCACTCAGAGATTCCCGCTCTTCTTTTCGGGGGAGATCGGGTGGGATGGGAGTTGTTTGGGATGAAAGTTGTTTGTGTCACGCCCCACACTCATCTCTCTTTTTGCAGCCACTATACATTCAATTCAATTCTCTTTCTGACAATGATCCTCCAATTTTGCGGTTTATTTTTTTAGGTTTAGATTCGAGAGTTCAATCAGACACGATTCAAACAGTAACCTGAGAATTTAGATCTAGATCTGCTTGCTGTTCGAATTTAGATTCAGATTCGGATTCGGATTCAGATTCAGATTCAGATTCAGATTCGGATCCAGGTTCGGATCCAGATTCAGATTCAGATCCAGATCCAGATTTAGATCCAGATTTAGATTCTGATCCAGATCCAGATTCAGATCCAGATTCAGATTCAGATCCAGATTCTGATCCAAATCCAGATCCAGATCACAGTAATGCTTGCTGTTCTTGTTAACTTTTGTACTTCTTTCAATTTTGTGTACAATATTGACAATATTGGCTAATATGATAATTTCCAGACTTCAACAATGGCCAAGTTCGATAGCAACTATTTCGGCACTCGCCGTGGACTCATCCGAATTGTGATGATCATCATCGGATTCGCCATCTCGGCAACTCTCTGCGGCAACTGGTGAGTAAATTACAGAACCAGTTTCAATACAAATTTAAACATTACAAACTTGCAAAGCTATCAAAACATAAAATAGGTTCGGAGGACGATCTTGCTTCAATGAGGCCCGTCTTGGAGGAGTCTCACTGTCAAACTCGATCTTCATTGTCGTCAACATCATCATATTCATTCTTGCTATTCTCAGCATGGGCAACTATAGCTTTGTAAGTTAAAGAAATTCTCTAATCTCTAAACCTCTGAGACTAATGAATTCAGGAGCGCCTCGTCTCGTTGATCGGCGCGGTTGTGTTCGGAATCTGTGGAGCTGTGATGGTTTGGTATGTGATCCAAGACGGCTTCAATCACAATGGATTCCTCCTCCCAACAGTGAGTTTACATAATAATAAACTATTCAAGTTATAAGCCTTCTCAAATTTTGAAATTTTAGGCTCTGGTTGTTGTTCAATTCTTCCTCTTCTTGTGGGACTGGCAGATTCTCCGTGGAGAGGCTTAAAAAGTGAAATAACTCAGCTTCAATAACTTTCAAGTCTCTATTTTTCTTTTTGAATCTCAATCCTTTCCTATTTCTTTTTTTCTACTTATGCATTGTCTTATAAGCAACAATATCAACTTCCTTGCCTTTAAGAATAAATTGTACATATCAAACCATTCTAGAAAAGTGCTGTCAATGTTAAAAACAAAAACAATATTTCAGTTTGCAATAAAATGTGTTAGAAAATTTCTTACAGACTTTAGTAAGAAGAATGGGGAATTTCGACAGCAACTACTTCAGCACTCGTCGGGGTTTGATTCGAATTGTGATGATAATCATCGGCTTTGCCATCTCATCACTTCTCTGCAATAGTTGGTGGGTAAATCGATTGGGATTCTTGATAAACAAATGAAGATCATTTTGAGCTTAAAGATAAGTTAGAAAATGGATATCACAGTACAAATATGAATTGAAAAGTACTGGCTGAGGAACTTAACTCTAATCATAACGATGTACACTACTGGACAATGAAATATCATAGTTGAAAAACGATCGTCACTTTCACCCGTCTGTAACTCCCTTGTCTTTACCGTATTTGTAAATATTAATATTACCATTGTGTAGCCATTGAAAAGAGCTTTCAGAAAATGTATTAGGTTGGCAAGTTATAAACGATCGTTTTTGGGTAATGTGCTTTCTGAAAAAATGGCTTATCGAATCAAAAAACGGTTTGATTGATTCAAAAGCCCTACCCTTAATCTACAAAATGGCTTCTTGTAGCTAATATGAGCTAATATATTTTTGAGTGATTGCATACTTTTTAAAATAAAATACTTCATCGATTAAATAGTTTCCCAAAATTTGAGAACAATCCAATCTTCGGAAGGTTGATTTTGATGCACTTGCTCAAAATGCACTTTTGTGCTAATTTAATCCATTTTCGTTTGAATTTAAGCAAGATTAAAAAAAAAGATTAAAATAAAAAGATTAAAAGAAAGAGAACGGTTCGATCGATTGGATTGTTCTGAAATTTTGGGAAACTATGTAATCGATGAAGCGTTTTATTTTAAAAAGTATGCAATCACTCAAAAATATATTAGCTCATGAATGCTAGAAACCAGAATTTTGAACTCTTACATTAAAATGCCTGAAAAAGTTCTAAAATAAACCGTATTTCCTCTAATAAACGCCCCCCCCCCTGACCAACTTTGGACGCTTCGTTCTCAGCCCCATTTGGAGATATTTTTATGTTTAATATATCAAAAGATAGAAGACATTAAGGGCTATCTTTTGATATATTAAACATAAAGATATCTCAAAATGGGGCTGAGAACGAAGCGTCCAAAGTTGGTCAGGGGGGCGTTTATTAGAGGAAATACGGAAACATTTTTCAAAGATTCAAAAAAGCCATTTTGTAGATTAAGGATAGGGCTTTTGAATCAAGCAAACCGTTTTTTGATTGAATAAGCCGTTTTTTTAGAAAACACATTACCAAAAGACGATTGTTTATAACTTGCCAACCTAATATAACACTAATAGTTTAAACTCAAAGACAAGGGGAGTTACAGACGCGCGAAAGTGACGATCGTTTTTCAAATATGACATTTCATTGTCCAGTACTGTACCATTCAGCTCTCGATCAATCCTAACATTGGGCTCACTGGGTACCAACTGGTACAATTATGACAATCTAGGAATTCAAATGGTTCAACAAAATAATTCAAATGATTCTAAATGATCTAAAGTTTACCATTGTCGATTTCTTTTAGAGTGCGTTCCTCGCGAGTAATGCGTTTTTTAAAACGCACACTTGGGAAAAAGTTACAGTACTTTTAGCAAAAATGACGAGCCCTGCATTATATAAGACACTTTTTAAAGATACTCAGCCGTTTAACTGATTTGGTAAGAAATTCCCTTTCAATGTAAATGATTTTTTGAAAACCCTGCGCAAAAAATGGCTTTTATATTTTTTTCGCCCAGGCGCACTTTTTAAAAAACGCATTACTCGACAATTACTCGAGCTATTACTCGAGTAAGAAAATTACTCATGCAAATTTACTCGAGTATTTACTTTACTCGCGAGGAACACACTCTAATTTTTTCGGTCTCAGACAGAGCCGAAGCTTTTTGGGTTTTCGGTTTGACTGACCGGACCGTACCGAACGATATCAACATCTTTATCGCAAGATATTTAAACTTCAAGCTTTGGGATTATATAAGATTAAAAAAAAACGGACTATAAATTAGCATAGTCGATTCTATTGGGATGATTTTATGGAGAAAAATCCGGGTTTTAGTTTCGGGTTTTTGAGCTTTTCTCAAAGAATTACTGAAATAAAAAAGAGTCATGACGGGAGTGGGACCAATGCTACCTTTTTTTTGCGCACCCGGACATTTGCGCACCTTTTTTTCCGCACCTTGCCATTAGCGCACCTTTTTTCTCGTTTTAAAAAAGCTCTAAAAAGCTAATATTAACCAATTTCTATTGCAAAAGTTGTTTTTCTAGGTAATTTGAGGGTGTCGAATTCAAATTTTGACATAACAGAGCCGGTGGAACCAATTTGAAAGACAAAACGGCTAGAAAATTGTCGATCGTTTTCTTTGTATAACTCCGTTCGTTCCACAAGCGTCCGTTTGTTTCCATATGACAAAATTTGAATTCGACACCCTCAAATTACCTAGAAAAACAACTTTTGGAATAGAAATTGGTTAATATTAGCTTTTTAGAGCTTTTTTAAAACGCGAAAAAAGGTGCGCTAATGGCAAGGTGCGGAAAAAAAGGTGCGCAAATGTCCGGGTGCACAAAAAAGGTCGCATTTGTCCCACTCCCAGTCATGACAGAATAAGCTTTAATAAATACGCGATTGTTCGAGTTGTTGAGCTTTTAAAGCTTCTTTCTTAGACTTCGATTAATCGAGTAAAAAAATTACTCATGCAAATTTATTCGAGTAATTACTTACTCGCGAGGAACACACTCTAATTTCTTTAGGTGGGGAGGTCGATCATGTTTTAATGAAACTCGTCTCGGTGGAGTATCCGCAGCGAATTTCATCTTCATCGTCGTCAATATTGTTTTCTTTGTCTTAGCCATTCTCAGCATTACAAACTACAGCTTTGTGAGTTAAGCTAGGCAGGCATTGTGAATTTCTAAGCAATGAAACAATTCCAGGAACGTCTGGCTTCACTGGCTGGAGCCATTGTGTTCGGAATCTGCAGTGCCGTGATGATTTGGTACATTATCCAAGATGGACTTAATCACACCGTCATTCTCTTGCCAACGGTGGGATTTCAGCTTAGATTCATCGACTTATCATGTTCATGCAAAACTTTCAACTTTAGGCACTCGTCGTTGTGCAATTCTTTCTCTTTGTTTGGGATTGGCAAATTCTCAATGGAGAAGCACACAATTAGGAGCTTTTTTATTGTAAAATATCAAAGTATTTTTCATGTTTTGGGTACCCAATCTTTCTATTTTGCTCAAGCTTATCGACCAAATATATTCATTGACTTTGCAAATAAATAATACAGATCTAAAGCCAATTTCTAAAGCCTTTAGTTCATTGTTTTATCAATGAATGAAAATATTTGATTTGTTTATATTGTAAAGATTTTAAAGAGTAATTTTAAGATAATTCAATAGTCGATTTTAAAGAGCAATTGTAAGATGATTCACATAGAATAGTCGACTTGTTTGAATGTGAAGGAATGAAGTGAAACAAAACATTTACTAGAGACTTGTTTTGCTTTGTTTTGTTTTGCTTTGTTGCAAGTTTATGAAGAATCCAATGAATCCAAAGTAAAACAAAGAAACTGTTAGTTACACTACAGCACCTAGAACAGTTGAAACAAATCCTCACGCAAAGGATTCACTTCCAGAACCAATGCAAGAAGATCCTCCATCGATCACCTAGATCTAGCGCTCACATAAAAGTGCAAATGAAAAGAGAGAAATGATTCGTGCCGATTCATCGATTTTTCTCCTTCACCTCATTCTCCTCTTTTCCTTTCTTTTCACCCACTCACAGCATGTTTTCCTTTCAAGAGAGCCTATTCACAGTCCACAGACAACAGCACACCTTTTGCATAAGTCGATATAATCGTTTGACATTGATGCTAATGGATTTATTTCGTTCTTTTGATCATTTCCTCCTGTAAAACAAGTTTATATTCGTGAAGATTTCATTGTTGTTTTCTCTTTAAATTCTCTTTTTACAAAAAGACAGCAATCTTTAGAAAGCGATGGAAGATGTTCGTCGGAACACTGGCTACATTTATTTCGTTTTTTTGATCATTTCCTTCTGTAAAACAAGTTTATATTCCTGAAGATCTCATTGTTGTTTTCTTTTTAAATTCTCTTTTTACAAAAAGACAGCAATCTTTAGAAAGCGATGGAAGATGTTCGTCTGAACACTGGCTACATTTATTTCGTTTTTTTTGATCATTTCCTCTTGTAAAACAAGTTCTTGTAGACTCGATTTTTGATTATTAAATGATTAAATTTTGCGGATTTATAACGAAAATGATAAGGGGTTTATTTTTGCGGATGTATAACGGAAAGGAACCCTCTTTCATATGTAAAATTCTTGCTGGCTGTTTGTTTGTTTTAAAAACTAGATGCGATTCTACGTTGCAATTGCAAAATTTAATTAGAATAATTACGGTAGTTCAATTCAATTCAAAAGTACAATTCATTCCAAAACAAGTTCTGATATTCCTGAAGATTTCATTGTTGTTTTCTTTTTAAATTCTCTTTTTACAAAAAGACAACAATCTTTAGAAAACGATGGGAGATGTTCGTCTGAACACTGGCTACATTTATTTCGTTTTTTTTGATCATTTCCTCCTGTAAAACAAGTTTAAATTCCTGAAGATTTGATTGTTGTTTTCTTTTTAAATTCTCTTTTTACAAAAAGACAGAAATCTTTAGAAAACGATGGGAGATGTTCGTCTGAACACTGGCTACATTCAGTCACAACGTGGTCTTGTGAAAATATTCCAAATCGTTTTCGGATTCATTGTCTGTTGCATGCTATGTGCTGCATGGTAAAGAGATTTTACTTAACTTTTTACTTAATCTTTTGCAATATCAGAGATATGCCGATTTAGGCACGGCGGTCGATCGTGCTTTGCTGAGTTTCGCGTCTCGTTCGTCTCGGCTCTTTGTTTCGTCGTCACAACGATCAATGTTGTACTCTTCATCATGAATTTTCTCAATATGGGACCAACAAAATTGGTAAACTAAACTTTAGAAAATGAATAAAACTTGATTTAGGAAAGAATCTACTCTCTAGTGGTCTCCGTTTTCTTCTTTGTCGGCGCCATTCTAATCCTTTGGTTTATCATCGATGCTTACTCGAGCAAAGTCTTGCTGATTTTTGTTTTCGTAAGTTTTCAGTAGTTGAACATCTGGTTGATCCTTTACATTTCAGCTATTCTTGCTGATTCAAATTGGACTCTACGTCTACGATTTAAAGCTGTTACACGCACAGATTGGAGCTAAATAAACAGTACTTGATCGAGCTATTGGTTATCTTTCTCTTAAACTCATAAATTATTTTCTAACCAACATTTCTACTGCCATTATCCACTAGAAAATCTCGATTCTTTGTGATTTTATCGATCTCTATGCAAAATTTTTTTGGGTTTTTTTCGATTGTGAAAAATTACTAGTAAACAAACAGAAAAGTCTACTTTTTTTGGAACTAACCAATCTTTTTTTTCTTTGTGTATTTGATAAACGGTGATTAGAAAAAAAACTCGCAAAAATCTTGAGAAAAATCTTGGATTGAGTCAAAGAGTTGGCTTATCAGATTTCAACGATTTTTTTTGAGCAATCGAAGGCAAATATAAACATTGAGCTCAAAAAAAGGGAAAGTTGCTGTTGAAAAAGCGTCAGAGTTTAAATTTTAGATAATTTGATCAAAGTTTTATTCTTATTTACTCTAAATTGAAACTCTAATCTAAATTGAAATCTCTAAATACGATTCTCAATCAATCTTCTATTCCAGTTTTCAAATCTAACAACTTTTCGTTTTTCTTTTGCATCTATTTTCTTAATTTCCAAATTTCCACACTGTTTCCTCACTAATCTTAAGTTTCCGACAAGTGTTAATCAATATTTGAGAATGGTTTAAGAGAGAGAGAAGTGAATAACAACGGCACGATCACTGTTTATTTGGGTGCACTTTATGGAAGAGAAAGGGAATGACGAAGAAAGACGGGAATAACTGGAATAACTATGAGTTAGAATCATTCTAATGTAGTTAATAAATATGAAATTCATTTGGGGTATTAAAAGGAGTACAAATAGAAATCGTTCAGCTATTGAACTGAAAGTTTTTGAAGGTTTAGATAAGCTCAAGCTCGCTCAGAAGCTCAGCTCAAGCTCGCTCAGAAGCTCAGCTCAAGCTCGCTCAGAAGCTCAGCTCAAGCTCGCTCAGAAGCTCAGCTCAAGCTCGCTCAGAAGCCAGCCAAGCTCGCCAGAAGCCAGCCAAGCTCGCTCAGAAGCTCAGCTCAAGCTCGCTCAGAAGCTCAGCTCAAGCTCGCTCAGAAGCTCAGCTCAAGCTCGCTCAGAAGCTCAGCTCAAGCTCGCTCAGAAGCTCAGCTCAAGCTCGCTCAAAAGCTCAGCTCAAGCTCGCTCGTATTTCCATTTCCTCTAACCTGTTCAACCATTCAACAATTTAGAAAGCTTTGAATATTGGAAATGAGAGTATGGGATAAGGCTCTATCCTGGCGGCGATGGGATAGTTGGTGTAGCTGATTGGTGAACCGTTGGCTGATAAGCAGCCCGGTAAACGGGAGGTCACGGGTTCGAATCCCGGTGCCGATCATTTTTTGTGCTTCAAAGCAATAAAAGAATCGATTTGTCCAACTATTCCTCCTCACTCCCATCCATTCCCCACAAAATACAATCATAACAAAGTTCCCCGCGTGATTAATCATCCTATTTTTCCAAAAACTCTTTTGGAATGCTGTTTACCAATTCAGATAAAAGAGGAATTAAAGGAGAGAAATTTTGCGTTATCACAATTTTTTACTTTCTTTTCCTTTGCTTTCTTTTGCTTTCTTTTCTTTCTTTTCCTTTCCTTTCTTTTCCTTTCTTTTCAAAGAGAGAGAGAGAGTTCAACGTGTTTATGTTTGTCGACATGACTTGATATGGGGTTATTCACTCAACAACTCACTTTACAAAGCTTTCCTGTTTAGCTTTCCTGTTTGTTTAAACATTAAAATGTTTTCAAATTTAATCAAACTACTTTTTTTTGAGTTTAAGGTTGATTTCTATACAAAAATTTGACTTGTTGTTGTTTTTTATGAGTTCGTGAAACTGTTTTCTCCAAGAAAACTTGTTTACAGTCTCTTTTTATTTGATCACATTTTCATTTTTTCATTTTCTTTGCTTAAAAATATTCTATATTTAATCTTTTGTTATAAAAATATTCCTCTTTTCCAATAATATGATTTTTATTGCTTGAAACCTGATTTCTAAATCGATCCTGACTAACTGTAATGATATTTTTTGGTGAAATTTATATAAAACTAGAACAATTTCTTACTAGCTTTTTTTGTTGTTTATATTTTTAAGAGTTTAGAATCTTTTAGCAACAGTGAACATTTTAGAATGAGCGAGATTCGATTCAACACCGCTTACCTTCAGCAAAACCGTGGAGTGATTAAGATTTTTCAAGTGGTCATTGGATTTATCATTAGTGGATTGTATTGTGGAGGATGGTGAGTCAAAAAACAATTGAAATTTTGATTATCGATTAAAGATTAAGTTGAGTCATAAGCTTTGCTGAGCGCTTTGCTGGGTGCTTTGCTCAGCGCTTTGCTGGGTGCTTTGTTGAGCGCTTTGCTGGGTGCTTTGCTGAGCGCTTTGTTGAGCGCTTTGCTGACAATTGGTATGACTCAAATCTTTTACCAGAATTGATTCATTAAAAACATTAGATTTAATAAACAAATCAATTTATCCAAATATTTTCTATTTAGGTCAAAAGCTGGATGTTACGGGTACGGTCAACTCGGCTACACGACAACTGTCAACTCTGTTGTTACCATCATCAACATTGTCTTCTTTGTGTTAAACTTGTTGAACTTGAAGTTCTGGAAACTTGTTAGTATTGATCAAAATTTTGAATTTAAATAGATTTCAGGAAAGAATCTATGGTATAATCTGTGCAGTGCTCTTTTTGGTCGCCTCTGCGTTGATGATTTGGTTCCTTGTTGTCGAGACGTCGAATTACTCAACTACGCAAATCATTGGAACGGTTAGTTTGATGAAATTTGACACAATGTTGTTTCTAATGTTTTGACCATTTGAACAAAATAACTTTGTCACTCCAACGGTAAAATTCTGACAAATATACATGCAACATTAACTAGTTTGGGGTGCGACCCGCTTTAACCTTATCCACGAGGATGATTCTGCTTAAGAATGACCGAATAGCACAAAAGGTTAAAAAAGGGTTTCCCCAAAAGCGCTTATAACGTAACAAGAACACGTCGTATCCAACAATAGATTAATCCTCTTGAGAAGAGTACGGATCGGATTGATACTACGTCGATGGTGACACAAATGTTAGTAAAACCTGTTATCTAAGCAGGATTTAAAACCTGAAGGGTAGCATAAAGCAAAGTGAATTTATAACGTTACTGTTTATTAGTACAGAACCGAAATGCAACAATACCCATTACAAAAACAGCATGCGCATCAAAAATGAAACAACAAAGTGGAAGAGGGAAGAGGGAAGGGAAGAGGGAAGGCAAAAGCCCGCTGACCCAAAAAAAAATTTTGGGAAGGGAGAAAAAGGACGAAAAATGCGACGCGAATAATTGCAAAATAGCAACGCAAATAGGAAGGAAACGGACGCGAACAACTAAACAACACTAACTTTTTGATGATAGATATGAAATTGAAAAAAAGTTCATTTACAATTAACTTGCCTCATCAAATCTTTTACCCATCAAATCATCAATGAGTATCAAATAATATTTCTATTTTAGATTCTTGTCGTCACACAATTCCTCCTCTTTGTATGGGATGTCAAAATTCTACAAGGAGAAGCTTGGAACTAACTTTTTCTTTGATTTTCTTTGATTTTCTTCGATTTTCTTCGATTTTCTTCTATTTTCTTTTCTTTTTCAATATCCCAAATTGAAATATAAATTTTAAAAACTTGGTTTGCCATGACTCTTTTCCAGCAACATTTCTATATTCTTTATTGTTTATATGGCTAGAATAAAAGTGTATGCGTAATCTACAACAATGACTTAATGACTTATTAAAGGTTATTTTCAAACCCGTTTGCAAATCTAGCACCAGATTTGAGCTTCTGTATTCTCCGTAAACAAAATTTCATGTGAATAAATGTATTTTTATTTACCTTTCCTTTTCAATATCCCAAATTGAAACTAAGAAATTTTTCTGAAACTTGGTATGGATGACAAGCTGTTCCCCTTTTTCTTCCCAAACAATCGCTTTGGTTTAAAGAAGAATAGATGAAACCACTCACCCATTAGTCAATATTTTGACGAGGCGGTTCCATTGTTTCTTTTCTTGGGAACATTTTCTTGGTAAAGTTTCACATTTTCATTTCTCTAGCTTTGAGAAACGAACGGAATTTTTGAGAATGAGTGGCATTAAACTTAATCTAAGATTTCTGGAAACAAATCGCGGAATCATCAAGATTCTACAAATCATTATTGGCGCAATTATCTCCTCGCTTGTTTGTGGCAACTTGTAAGTCTATAGAAATAAGAGCTCAAAGCTTAAGAGCTCAAAGCTTAAGAGCTTAAAGCTTAAGAGCTTAAAGCTTAAGAGCTCAAAGCTTAAGAGCTTAAGAGCTTAAGAGCTCAAATCTTCATAATGAGTACCTGATTGAGACAATCTTTTGAGTGCTTATAAGGTTGACTCTATTATCTGTAAAAATCTCTCTGCAATCTAGAGTAAAGAATGAAATTCAGCCTTTGGGATAAGCACTACTGTTGGTCTTATGGAAACCGAGGTTACGCAGGGATTTGGAACAGTGCTTGTCTTTTCATCAATATTATTCTTCTCATCCTTCACCTCACCAACATCAAAATTAAAAAATTAGTAAGACTCAGTAAAATTTAAAAAATAAGATCACTTAGGAGCGAGTCTATGCGATAATTGCTCTTATTCTATATATGATTGCTGTCGGGATGTTGATCTGGTATTGGGCTCATATTGGTGGAGCTTGGGATGGAGTCGTTGGAACGGTAAGATTGATTTGTAGGCTTTATTTTAAACCTATCAATGTTTTAAGGTTTTGGCTATTGTTATGACTGGATTGTACATTTGGGATCTACAAATTCTTCAAGGAGACTCTTCGGATTAATGATTATTGATGGATTTTTGAATTGCTATATTATATTGCCATGCTGAGAATAAAGAAGCTAATTTATAGTAGTTTATCATTCAACCAACTTTCAGTTCCTCTAGATTTCTTTGTCAGAACCAATCCTCTAGAACCAACCCTTTAGAACCAACCCTCTAGAACCAATCATCTAGATTTCTTTGTCAATACTATTTTCTATTCTGTGTAACTTTTGCTGGTCTACTTACCAAATAAAATATATTTATATTCAAGAAAAATGAAAAACGCTCAAACACTTAACAAGAAAAGTAGAGAAAAAGGCGAAAAGGATCTTTTGAGTGGGGTCTTTGAGCCAAATCGATTGATTTCTCTTGTTGACTAATCTCTCAGTTGTAACTCTAGGCTTTAAGCCTTTTAGCCTTTATTGTTTATCAAAAAAGTACTATTTTCTAAATGGAAAATAGTGAATTCGGTTGGGCTGATTTACCTCTACCGTTACTCGAGCAAATCTTTGAGATTCTTCCTATTAAATACAAAGGAAGAGCGGCTCAAGTAAGTTGACTTCAAATCTCAACAATTAAGAGTTTTACATAGGCTTGTTTCTCATGGTATTGTGCCCTAAAAAGTGATCGTTGTTGGCGATATTTTCAATATAAAGATGACATTTTTGTGCGCCGAAAGTTCACTCAACATTCTGGATGGCAAAATCATATTGATCACTATAGAATTCGGTACAAATTTTTCACTAAATCTAGAAGAAAAGTTTAGATTTCTTACCGCTAAAGTTGTCACCAAGTGGCATCGATTTGAAGTGATTCCAGTAGCCAATTTGTCGAATATGTACGAATTTCTGAGAACGATCTCAAATTTTTCTGAATACTATGAAAGAAATGCTGGTGAAGAGCCTTTATCAGGACTGCGATCTTTTCGCTTTCATTGGGAAATGTTGATTCAAAAAGCTGCACTGAATCAATTCAATCGAGATGAAAGCAGTCGGCAAGAGGATCAGAATGAAAAGCATAAACCGGATGTGAGTTAAACCGGATATATAAATATAAAATACCGTATTTCCTCTAGTAGTGCACTTGGCAGAGTTGATGCCTATTTTACGGTTTCCAAGTTATCCCAGAAGCTCAACGCTTTAATCCCCCACTAGATCTCATCGTCAGCTATATTTTCCGACCCCACATCGATAGGTTCTGATAAGCGGTTCTCGAGATTTCGAGGAATTTAGGCAACACTCAAGCTTAGGCTTAGTCTTAGGTTCAGGCTCAGGCCCAGGCTTAGGTCCACGCTCAGGCCCAGGCTTAGAGTTAGGCTTAGACTTAGGCTTACTCACAACGATACTCACCACTTATTGCCCAACCTGGTAAATACCGTATTCTCTCTAATAGTAGTACACCCTGGCGAGCCGAGTTGGTCACTATTTTACGGTTGCCAAATTTTTGCAGAAGCTCAACCCTCAAATCCCCCACTAGATCTCATCGTCAGCTGCATTTTCCGACCCCACATTGATAGGTTCTGATAAGCTTCTCGAGATTTCGAGCAATTTAGGCGACTGCAATTTAGCAATTTAGGGTGCACTACTATTAGAGAAAATACGGTTTTGTGAAAGATAAGCAAAGCGGATTTAGGAGGTTCGGGATATCGGTACTGGTGGCACAATGCTTGAGGGAATCTGGTTTTTTCTTCAACATCTTTATGGCCTCAAAGTGCTTTCGTTAACCAATCTACAATTAGCTGAACGGGAATTCAATCCATTTATGGAAAAAGCAAGTTTAAAGGCTTTTTTTTAAATGTTTTTCTCTAGATCTGGCTATTCTTCAATGAAAAATTAGAGGAATTCTATCTTTTGAATGCAACTCTTTACCGAAAATCAATTATGTACTTGGGATTGTTTTTAAATCTTCGAAAATTGGTTGTTTCTCCTCAACACATCGATGATGATAGTCTGATTTTGATTGGAGATTTGCAGTACTTAAAAACTTTTATGTTGGTTCAGGTAGATCGTTGAGAAGTTTCAGAATTTTTCCAGTTTAGACAGAGAAAACTTCCGAAGAACGATCGTGTTCTAGACAAGCTTGGGAAAAGTTTAAAGAAAGTAATCGAAAAAGAACGAAATTGTACTTAGTACTGTCAGGTGATTGAAAAATTAGTTAATGAATCTAGTTCTACGTTTAGGTAGATGCAAAAAAGAGATGTTGATTCAAATGGGAGCTCCTGTGCACTCGATTATTTGGGAGAACTACATTGGACAGCTTACGAAAGATCTAGCTCAACAGGTTTTCTTAATTTCTACAATATTTAAATCTTCAATAACTATTTTCAGATTTATTCTGAATATTTTGAAACTTTGACAGAGTTTATTCAAAAAGGATTGGAAAGAAAAAAACGAGAAAACAAATTTTCGGAGAGAGCTGATATTCCCGCTGTTGAGATAATGAATCAGTGTGAAAAAAAGGGAAATTTATAAACTGAAATCAATTTTAGTTGCACTCAACTACAATATTTTGCTTTAAGAGAACGAATTTCTACAGCAACAGCTCTAATCTTAGCTTTAAAAGCGAAAGAAATGTGTTGCAAGTTGTGCATTCGACAAAATGCTTTGCTAAAAAGGGTAAGCTTAACAGAATGATCAAAATGAGCTTTAGATCGAATATTTCCATTTTACAGAACTGTTGGCCGTCTACTGATTTCATTTTCTATGGCATTAAAGTCTCTCGAAAATGGATTCTAAACATATGCTTTGATTACGATCTCACCGCTGAGAAAATCCTTGAGATCACTCGTGATACTCGATGTATCATGAATGATCAACAATACAAGAGTTTTATTTAGATTTTGTTAGCTTTTAAGTTCTAGATTTCTTTGAAAGTTTACGGGTGAATAAAAGATTTATCAATTTTGATCTATCAATTTTATTTATCAATTTGATCGATCAATTTTATCGATCAATTTTATCTAACAATTTTCTCAAATCTCTGAATTTTCTGGTTTTATTTCTTCTTGAGAAGTCACTTTATCGATATTTTGTTCTTCAAGAGCCCATTGTTGAAGAATGTAGAAAGCAATTGTTGAAAGAATGGCAAAAATTGAAAGAAGTCCCAATTGCCAGTAGAGATTGAGAATGGATGAAATATAGAAACAGATACCAGCAGATCCGGCCTGAAAACTCGATATTGGATATTGGCTACATTTGATACGGATCCTTGTCATTGGCACTCCACTTTGAGCTCAAATTTCTTGGAATTGAGATATCCAATTTAAATATTCTTGGTATCATTAAATGCGCCAAGTCTTTCTCTATCGATTGGTATAAAAAGTCTTTAAATTAAACAGCCCAACAAGAAGATATTTGAGCTCAAAGTTAAATTGCCAATGGGGAAGGGGGCGGGGCGATGGACCTTTTATACGCACCCCGCCCCCGATTGCCATTGGCACTCTAACTTTGAGCTCAAATTTCTTGGAATTGAGATATCCAATTTAAATATCCTTGGTATGATTTAATCCGCCAAGTCTTTCTCTATCGATTGGTATAAAAAGTATTTAAATTGAACAGCCCAACGAGAAGATATTTGAGCTCAAAGTTAGTTACATTGTAAAGGAAGTGGGGCGCGGGTCAAATGGCTACAATTATTGGCTACAGCTGAAAGCAAGTCTTACAAAGTTGGATATAATTTTCTATTCTAATCTAAATATTATTAGACACTAGCTTGTTACCTGAAAGAATTGAAATAAAGCAAAAGCCGGCGCTGCGTCTTTATCCTTGTAAATCCCGCCAGCTATCGTATAGGCTTGAGTCTGCCAGCAGCTATCCCCAAGACCAAATACGAAAGCGGTGGCCAAAGAGAACCATAAGCTAAATCAGGAATAAAATCAAATAAAACTTAATAATTAAATACCCACGTAGGTTCAATGAAGGCTATTTCATCAGTTTTCTTTTGAGGAGAATCAACGGGGAGAAAGAGAAAAGACATGAGAAAACCGAGAACGAGAAGCACTGTTCCCATCAAAACGACGATTCGACGACCATATGGAGATTTCGTTTTAGCTCCAACTCCAAAAAGAAGTCCGCCTAAACTTTGATAGTTTTAATAATCCTGATTCAAACCTATAATCTCGCCCAAACCAAGAGCCAAAACATTGTAAGCGATGCCGACCTCGTTTCGTTGTAAACGAGTAGTGGCTAAAGTTAACTTGATAGTCTTAAAAAGATTTTATATCTAACCAGCTAATGCAGCTCCATAAACACCACTATGAAAAACTCCCTCAGCTCCCAGGAAACAAGTGACAACTGTGAGCATTAACATTTTTCGAGTTTTAACCAAAGAGAATGTTCTTGCTAAATTAGTTTAGACTTGAGTGATGATTTTAACTCACCGAATACTTCTTTCGTTGATTGTTCTTCTAAGCCATCTGATTTCTCAGTGCCTATTGAAAAGATTAAAAGAAAAATAATTAAATTTTACCACTCCCTTTTGGAAGACAAGCCAATATAACAGCTCCGATCAAGGCTAGAATTCCAAAAACTGCGTAAACTAATTGATATGAAGAAACGAGATCACTAAAGTGTCTTGGTTTAGCTTTTCTTTCTTAAAAGCTTTCTTTCTTTCTTTGTTTCTTCCTTTCTAAAGACTTAAGGGATCTTTACGGTTAACGACGGGGGTGGAGATTATCGGCGGGGGTCAATTTTTTGGCCAACTTGCAGTCCAATTTTAGATAGATTTTTGTTTATAAATTTTGATAAAACAAATAGTTTCTGAAAGCTGACATTCTAAGCTATCTAAATCTTATTAAAACTTTCTGACCTGACAAGTTTAAGGTGTTAAAAAATGAGCTGTAAGTTGGCCAAAAAATTGGGTTTCGTCGGTAGCCGTAAAGGTCGAAGTTATGTTTTTTAGATTAACTGAACTTGAGCTATTAATTTAAAACGCTATTAATTCAGTAGAGCTATTAATTTAGGTCGAAAAACGACTACTCGTTCATATTCTCTAAAAATATAATCAGTTAAGGTTAACGGCCGAGGCCAAGTTTTTGACCAACTTACAGCCCGATTTTATATAAGTTTATGTTAATAGCTTTTGATAAAACAAATAGTTTCTGAAAGCTGACGTTCTAAGCTATTTAGATCTTATTAAAACTTTCTGATCTGACAAGTTTAAGGTGCCTAAAAATGAGCTGTAAGTTGACCACAAAAATTTGGCCCCGGCGATAATCGTTACCCCCGCCGTTAACCGTAAAGATCCAGCTTAGCATTTAAAACCCAATCTCTATTAAAAATTCTTAAAGGTATTAATATATTCTAAAATATTTATAATATAGTATCACCTAACGATCTAATACCTAGTTTGCAAAACAATCGCTAAGAATAAGGCTCCAGCGATGAGAGCCATTTGCAGACCCGTCCACATGATTCCATTATTGCGATGCATGTGATGTTTTGGAGTATGACGGACAAGATTCACACCATTTCCCGTCCAAATTACTACAATATATTAGAATAAGCAGTGCTATTGATGTGTTATTGATGTGTTATTGATGTGTTATTGATGTAAATTCAATGCAACTTACAAGCAGATCCAATGCCTAACAATAACGCCAACGTGTAAAGCAACCATCCTCGGAGATACAAAAAGCCGAACATATAAAGAGCATAAAATAAAGCACCAATAACCATAGCCCACTGAAAATTGTTTATTTTTAAATCGCTTTTGAAAGTAAACTCACTTTTGGACCAATTCTTGCTAAAATCGGTGGTGCTAAGAAGTTACTCAAAGTAAAAGATAAACATAAAATCGAACTCCTGAAATTTATCGTTTTTCGATTATTAAAAGACTTTGTAAACCCACGTATAATAACCGGATTGATCAGAAATCCCATAGATTTCATCAGAGGCTAAATTCCTCAAAACAGCAACCTAATACCGGGCTATTTGAGTGTAATGAAAACAAAAAAAAACAAACCACAATAAAAATCTGTCCATTATATGCAGCTAATACGAAAAAGAAACCGATACATTGCTGAATGACGACGAATAAATCCGGAACTTGACAAGAGAACATTGTCTGGAATTAAATTGCAATAGAAGTTGTCTCGAAGAACTTTCAGTCTTTCAAAGTCTTTCAGAAAGAACGCTCTGAAACTCGTTCTCATTTTTGAACAGTTTTCGCTTGATTTCTTCATTTTATATCAATTTCCAGCTTAATTTAGTACATTTTACATAATCTGCAATCAAAAAAATTGATAAATCTAGACTTTTGAGGGAATAAATCTTGTGTACCAAGTCATTACTCATTCTTAAACCTCTCAATTTCCTACTCAATTTCCAATTTCCTCATTTGAGTCCATAAATCTTTACAAATTCAACGACACATCATTTAAGCTTACTTCTATCATCTTCTAGTTCTTTTCTTTATAAACAACTGCTCAATCAAAGCTCAATTTCCGGCTTAATTTAGTAAATTTTACATAATCTGCAATCAAAAAATTGATAAATCTAGATTTTTGAGGTGATAAATCTTATGTGCCAAGACATTATTCATTCTTAAATCCTCTCAATTCCTAAAGATGTTGAAGTTAAACGAGTCAAAAGAGTCAAAAGATGTCAAAGCCAGCATAATAAATAAAAACAAAAGGAAACCTTTCGAATAATTCATTTCTTTAGTTTATTCTCATTAAGTTTTATAAGCAAATGAATCTATAAACCTTTTAATATTAACAGAAAAAGTTTCAGCTTAGCAACTTATTCTTAAACTTTTCAATTCCCTACTCAATTTCCAATTTCCTCATTTGAGTCCATAAGCCTTTACAAATTCAACGACAAATCATTTAAGCTTACTTCTATCATCTTCTAGTTCTTTTCTTTATAAACAACTGCTCAATCAAAGCTTCTTATCTCAAAAAACAAATTACTCAATAGTTCAAAATATGATTCCACCTGTGGACGAAAAAAGCTGATGTCAAATTTGCAATAACTCATTCAACCAGCACTTCTTCATTTTATATCAATTTTCGGTTTAATTTAGTAAATTTTACATAATCTACAGTCAAAAAAATTGATAAATCTAGATTTTTGAGGTGATAAATCTTGTGTACCAAGACATTATTCATTCTTAAATCTCTCAATTCCTAAAGATGTTCAAGTCAAAAGAGTCAAAAGAGTCAAAAGATGTCAAAGTCAGCATAATAAATAAAAACAAAAGGAAACCTTTCGAATAATTCATTTCTTTAGTTTATTCTCATTAAGTTTTATAAGCAAATGGATTTACAAACCTTTTAATATTAACAGAAAACGTTGCAGCTTAGCAAATTTTTCATTTTAAACCCACAAACTAATTAAGCAGATTTAGCAGATTTTTTTTTAAAAAGACAAAAAATAAAAGTGTAATTGTATAAAAAAGAACTTTTTTTACTATAAAATCATCAAAATAAAATAAAATGGCAAAGTTTCGATTCGAAATTTCAGCGCTGCATTACTTCTCTTCGATTCTCTCTGTGTATTTCCGTTTCCCCTCTATTTATTTGTGTGTGCTCGAGTTCAGAACACACCGTTTTTGCATTTTTTTGTTATCCGATTAGATTTCCCGCAATGATTTTGAATGTGTAACAGTGTTTTTCTACTATTTTTCCCTTTCTGAACGGGCTTTTCTCTTGGGACTCAGCCCAGCGCTTCCAAAAGTTCATCGAGATTCGTGAATGAGTCAAATTTAGCATTGGCAACATTTACATGTTCTATCATACTTTAAAACTGTCGTTTAAAACTTTATCCCGAAATTTTTAAGCATAATTTTATGAGAGATATTGACGAATGACGAATTGATTCTAACAATATCAAGATCAAATCTCCTATTTATTTTTCGTCAGACGCTTGTGTTCATTCTTTAAAAGCCCAATTGTGCACGAAGAGAAATGAAATTGTTGATGTTATTATTAAGAGAATAATAAAGGATAGAATATAATGAAGAAGGAAATGAGCGGGGCTTTTCTGAAATGGGCTTTTCTCTTGGGACTCAGCCCAGCACTTCCAAAGGAACATTGCCAACATTTAGATGTTCTTTCATACTTTAAAACCGTCGTTTAAAACTTTATTTCGAAATTTTTAAGCATAATTTTATGAGAGATATTGACGAATGACGAATTGATTCTAAAAATATCAAAATCAAATCTCCTATTTATTTTTCCTCAGACGCTTGTGTTCCTTCTTTAAAAGCCCAATTGTGCACTAAGAAAAATGAAATTGTTGATGTTATAATCAAGAGAATAATGAAGGCTAGAATATAGTGAAGAAGGAAATGAGCGCCCAAAACGTAAGCGAAACAAGCGGCTCCAGCCTGAAATTTTGTGACTTTACTAGATTTTAACAGTTTGTAACTTTAAAAATAAGTTTTAAAAGGTTTAAAAAGTTTAAAAAAGGTAAATCACCTGTAGCTATCATCATTTTCAAAACTTTAACTACTTTACTCACTTGGAAAAACTTGAAGCATGCGAATGCTGGCGCGGAATCTTTGTCTCTCCACACTCCACCAACAAGCGTCACCACTTGAGTCTGCCAACAAGAATCCCCCAATCCCAACAGGAATGGAGGAATTAAGAAAAGAAATTTGCTAAAATTGCTAATTTTGGTTTCAAAATTTCTTCTCACTTTGGAGCAATCATTGCCAATTTCTCCGTTTTTCCAAGAGCTGCTTCTGCTGGGAGAATAAGATAGCTGAATAAATAGCCGGCAATCATCAAAATTGTCCCCAAAAGAACCACCCATTTGTTACCGAGAGCCGACTTTTTTCTTGTTAATATTAAACCGCCTAAAATGACTAGAATCTTCTTTTGCTCTAATAACTTACTGATCACAACTCCTGTCCCAAAAGCGAAGACCAAGTAAGGGAGAATTGTTTCTCTGTCCGCAAATTGTCCCGTTGCTGTAAGTCATTTTTGATTTTTGTTGGGAAGAGCCCTCAAAACTAGTTTTTATGAGATCTTGAGTTGACTCAAGCTCACGCTCAAGTCCAAGACTCAAATTGACTCATTTTAATGACATAACTGACTTATCTAACGCGTTTGAAACGTAAACTCTGGTAGGATTTTTGCTTTACAAGTTCACGAATCAAACAGAGCTTCTATTTCTATTGTAAGTTTAAGCAAAATAGTCATTTTGTTTGGCTACAGTGTACATTTTTGAAAAAGAATAGTATTGGGAAGAGAGAGTTTTATACTTCCCACAAAATTGTCATATTTTAAAGTGCGTCTGTCTAGGTTGTCACTAAGAACGTCCCGTAGTCTGTGCCGTTTTATTTTCTTTTCGCTCCCTCTCATTGTTTTTTCTATATTTTATACGAATCGCTTATGATTCTTTTATTTGTCTTCATTACTCTCGATAAACGCTAACTGTTATTCCACAAGTAAGTCAATCACGTTACAACAGTCGTGCGGATCTACTACTACAACAATTTTCAGCCAAAAGTTGAGGCTATATTAGATCTCTATTAGTATTTATAGAATTACTCACCCGCAACACTAGCTGGATAAATTCCATGAGAGAAAGTTGATTCGATTCCCAAGAAGAAGAAAACGACGAGAAGAGTCCGCATTTTCTTTGAAACAGCCAACTTGAAAGTGCTTACTAAAAAAACGAAATATTGCTTTTAACAATACTGAAACAATACCAAATATTGTATTTAACAAATAGTTTAACAAACAAATAGTAACAAAGTTTAACAATACCGAATACTTGAGCAATTGATGGTGGAGTGATCTTAACAGAATCATTCCCAGCTTCCGCTCCAAGAAGACTGTTCTCTGTCGGTTCTAAAACAAAACTGTTTATTGTTTTTAAACTAGTAATTCAAGTTTAAATTAAAATACCTCTAGAAACATCAGTGTGCTCATACCAGGAACGTTTTCGAGGCAAGAGAGCCAATGTAAGAACACCAGCTCCAGCGACAACAGAGAAAACGGTGTAGACGAGTCGGTAGACTGATTTAAGATCACTAAAACTATTGTTAAACGAAAAAAGAAGAGTATATAGTCAAATCTAGATTACCTATCACCAAGGAACAATGCCAGCATCGAAGCTCCAGCCAAGAGTGATGTCTGCATCACTGTCCACATCACGGAACTATTTCTCCCAAGATTCTCTTTCTTTGAGATTTCTACGAGAAATACACCATTGGCTGTCCACAAAACTAAACATTTCATCGCATTTCATTGCTTTTCTTTATTTTCTTTTCTTACTTGCTGCTCCAATTCCGTTTAAAGCTGATGCAGTGAAATAGATCCAGGTTTTTAAGTCCAGAAAACATAACAAATAAAACATGTAACTTGAAGCACCAATAACCATTGCCCACTAGAAATTACATTAGCTTTTTTTAATTAATTAATGAAATTAATCAATTTAGGTAACTTATTTACCGTAAAAATTCTAATAAAAGACTATGAATTTCTAATTTTCAATCGCCTGAAATTAACCAATCAAAAAAGTAGAGAAAGGTCCATCAAATAGATCAAAAATTGTTTAAAACTCTTTTAAATAATAGCCTTTGGTATAAAATGTATAAAAAACCATATTTTAAAGTAAAATTATTATTGTTTTTTTTACTCGAACCGAGCGAACCTTCCAAAAAATCCAGAAAAACATGAATTTTTTGAATTTTCTCAAAAATCATCTTTTAAATTTTACTATCAAAGCTAAAATACTTCTAGCTTTATCTAAATGTATCATTTCTATCTAAAAAGAAGTTACAAAAACTCCCGATTTCAGGAGATTAGGAAGTATTCTTTTATTAGAATTTTTACGGTAATTATTAGGTTGGTGTAGATGAATCTTCCGTCACACTTGTTTGTTTATATTTTGGATCTAATAAAAGTTTTTATTAAATGTAGGCTCGACCCCACACCGCGAAGATCACTCAGCAGAAAATCGAGGAATTGGGCTGGGAAGTGCTGCCTCATCCGCCATAGCGGATGAGGCTGAAGCTATAGCCTGGACTTAGCCCCATCCGACTACCACTTGCAGCACTCTTTAGCAGAAAAAAAAAATTCAAAAACCGCGAAGAAGTTGAAATCTGGGTGTCCAACTTCAAAGTCGCAGTTGCCCGAGTTCAAAGAGTCATTGACAATTCTTCGAAAAGGGGATCCATTCTCTGAGTGGAAGATGGCAAAGAGTCATTGATAATATACACCCATGCACAAAAAAAATGTCACATTTAACTTGAACCTGCTTTTTTTCCGTTTTACTTTTTTTTGATTGCATTCTTTTATGCTAATTTTTTTAATTTTAGAATGGTAAAACCACAGCTCTCAACGCCAGACAAAGAAAAGATTGTTGAAGCAAGGAAACAAGGAATCCCGCGGAAACAGGTGGCCGAGCTGTTCAAATGTGATGTAAGAACCGTTTCTCGCATTGCTGCGAAGTCGAGAACGACTGGAAATTTGCACAGGACACCAGGAAGTGGACGGCCACCAGCCACTACACCACGCGAAGACAAGGCTTTGATTTTGGCGCACAATAAGGACCCGAATCTTAACGCGTCGGATGGTGTTTGCCTCATCAAGCAACAATTCGGCAAGGATATCAATCGAATGACAGTGAGCCGACACTTGAATCGAGCATGGATCTGATGGTTGCCAAGCACAGGAAGATCCGACTCGACTTCGCAAAAAGTACCAAAGTTGGACGCCGAATGACTGGGCCAATGTCATTTTCACCGATGAGTCGAAGATCAATCTCTTCAACCCTAATGGCAATCACTTGATCCGGAGACCAATTGGACAACGCCATAACATCAAATACTTGCGGCCGACAGTCAAATTTGGTGGCGGATCGATTATGCTATGGGGTAAAAGACTTGTTCCCTTATGTCAACTAATCTTGCTTTTTTTCAGTAGCGATGACTAGAAGTTCACCAGGTCTGCTCGTCTTTCTCAACTCAACCTTGAAGGCCCAGCGGTACAAGACGATCCTGGAGAATGATCTTCTTCCATTTGCGACCACGAATATGGGACAAGGATGGTTGTTGTACCAGGATAACGCTCCGTGTCACAAGCACCAGATGTTGATAGGAAGGGTCGGCCGACTTTCAAACGGTGGAAGGGCTCGTTTACCGGGATGGTTCGCTGACAATCGTGTCAAGCTCGTCGCTGCTCCACCTTACAGCCCGGATCTCAACGTAATCGAGCATTTGTGGTCGCACATCAAGGGTAAACTGAAGGGCAAACGATTTGCGACCAAGGTTGAGCTTTGGTACTTCATTCGAAGCGGAAGATTTGAGGATCCTCTTGGAGGATTTGACTGATTCGATGCCACGGAGGATTCAGGCAGTTATTCAAGCTAAGGGAGGCCCGACAAAATATTAGATTTTTGTTTTTATCAATTTTTTATTTATGTTATTTTTTTGTGCCCTTTTTGGTGTTCTTCCGGTATTTATTGAAAAATAAAAATTTAAACAAATTGCTGGAACTTTAACACTTTTTCACAAGAAAGTAGAAGCTTTTTGCTATCCAAAACCTTTTGACAGCATAGAATTTGGAACACGTTTAGTAGGTCAAATTTAGGCGTAAAGTTTTGTAAAAACGATGTGACTTTTTTTTTGTGCATGGGTGTATATAGATAGATCTCTATTCAGGACCTGAGGTTTTATAATAAGTGCGCTAGATTTAAGGTTAAAACACATGAATTCATGCACAGGGCCAATAAAAAGAAACACGCTATAATCTATGTAAAATATGGGTAGCACAGATAACGTCAAGGACCCACTAGAGCTTCAAGATCAAGATCAAGATCATCTACAGATAATTGAAAGGTTTCGAGACTATTGGACTCTCTCAAAACTCTGGGGAGTCGATTCCAAATTCTGGCAGTTCTTATTGGAAAAGAGTTATAAACAAACTTATTGGAGGTGACTGAAATTTCGAAAACGAAAGAACCTCTCCTTGAACTAACTGTGGGATTAACTTTGAATAAATCTCGAAAAAGAGGGATAGGTTGATAATGATGGTGAAAATCTTCTGGATTGAGGTTCTATATCAGGATTTTTATAATAGATTTTGTTATAACCATTCTCTGCGTGGAAGATGGCAAAGGCTCATTGATAATGATGGCGAATATCTTTTGGATTGTGGTTCTGTATTAGGATTTTTATAATGAACTTTCGTTTATGGTTCTAACGGAAGTTTCATCTGCACCAAGCTAATAATTAATTGTATTATATACCTTTGAACCTAGTCTTGAGATCACTGGCGGTGCCAAGAGATTTGAAAACATGAAAGTGAAGTAAAGGATTCCTTTACTGTAAATGGCTTTTGTTTTGGATTCGTCGTTTTGAATGAAACCTGTAATAGCCATCATTTGGAGCAAGTTCACCAGCTGAAGAAAGATTTCGAATAATAGCAAGCTAAAATGAAAAAATTCTTTGAAGTCTATTAAATAAGTCGTTGAATAAGTTTATTAAAACTGACCACAATGAAGGCTTGTGAATTAAAAGCAGCAAAAATAAAGAAAAAGCCGAGTCCAAGCTGAAGAACACCAAACAATTCTCGATTCAATTCCATCCAATTTTTCTTCCGTGATTTTTCGAATTTCGAGATCTCCTCTGTAACAATGTCTTTTTTTTCCAATCGATTTTGATAAGCACTTTTTATTTTCTGCGTAAAACTCAAGGTCATTTGTTTGATTAGTAAAAAAAACTAGTAAAAGTAAAGAATGATTTGAGTAGATTCATATTTATATTAAAATATCGACATAAAAAACACAAAAATAATGTTTTCTCTCAAAAATAGTGATTAACTTAGTTTCATTCACACGTTTTTTTCAAAAGCAAAATCAGCAAACCTTTCATTTCTTAGAAAAAAACGTAAAATGGAGTGTTGGCTTGAAAAATGAACAAACAAAACCTAAAATCTTTTAATTTATCAAGAAATCTAGTAAAGTAGCTGTGAAAATTGAAATCGCGTTCATATCAGCAATGCTTTTTATTGAAAAGCTGTCCTTTTTTTGATTTGAGAGAGCTGACCATTCAGTTTATCATTTTTCAGGCAAACAAAGAACGGGAAAAGACAAAAGAAATCTCTTTTTGACAGAAAAATCATTAATAAAGTGTGAATTGTAAAGTTTTCGTTTACTTTTTATGGTGTAAACTGGTGAATGATTGGAATTTGTGAAGAAAGTGAATCAGCGTCATTGTTGACGATAGAAGCATTTGAAAAGTTAGAAAAAGTTGAAACTTGCAAAGCTAATTGAACAAATCCTATTGCAATCCGTTTTGCGAAATGATCAGATGATAAATATTGAGTCAAACATTCAGCACACATTAATTTTAGCCATTTTCATCTTTGAATACATTCTGTTGATCTAAAATTGACTTTTTCTAAATCCTTAGAGACTCCAGTTATTTCTTGTTACTTATTTAACTTCATTTCCTTTTCATTTCAATCCTAAATCTTCACTCTCCAGCTCCAGCTCACTTCTTTTTCATTTCACTTCTCCAACGATGACATTTTACTGCTTGTGATTACGGTGGTTGTTCAAAATGTGCAAGTGAGTTGCAATGAGATTGAATTGAGGATTTTGAATGAACAAAAACTACTTGTGAATGATTGGAATTTGTGAAGAAAGTGAATCAGCGTCATTGTTGACGATAGAAGCATTTGAAAAGTTAGAAAAACTTGGAACTAGCAAAGCTAATTGAACAAATCCTATTGCAATCCGTTTTGCCAAATGGTCAGATGATAAATATTGAGTCAAACATTCAGCACACATTAATTTTAACCATTTTCATCTTTGAATACATTTTGTTGATCTAAAATTGACTTTTTCTAAATCCTTAGAGACTCCAGTAATTTCTTGTTACTTATTTAACTTTATTTAACTTCATTTCCTTTTCATTCAAATCCTAAATCTTCATTCTTCAGCTATTTTTGCAAATAAATTCTCCGTTTTAGCATTCAGAAATCGAAAACCGTGCGGCTAGATGGGTGCTCGATAATGAAAAAACGGGGGGAAAACAAAAAGAAATCGGATGGAGAAATCGGGTCATCGGCTTTCCCGACAAGAACATCCACTTTGTGCAGTTCAAAAGGGAAAAAAATCGTATGAAGACATTTTTTTTCCCTTTTGAACATAACTCTCACACTCACCTCTATCTTTTATTGAAAATGAATTCATTTTTGTGTCTTCGTGAAATTCATTACTTCGTGATCTTTCAAGGGCATTAGAATGGCCTTGTCTCTTTCTCCGATCTCTTTTGTATACTTTTTGATCATCTAATCGAATTACAAATGTTTCTCTACCTTAAATCAATTCTTCTTTTCCCATAAACTTTCTTTCGATACTCAATTGGTTAATGGTTTTTTTATTCTTCACTGCAACAATTGCGTGTAACAAATTGTATAGTAATTTGTATGCAATACACTTCTCTTTAAAGTATTATCAAACAATTTTACTCTAACTTTCCACCAAAAACCATCGAATACTGATCGGAAAACAGGATTTCACTTACCTCAATCCCATCATTTGCCCATTCACTCTTCACGGTGACCGCACACTTTATTTTGCTCACAAAAAAACTGACAACCTTGTTGAACTTGTACAAATTGTTTTTATGAAACTAGATTTTTATAAACAATATAAACATAAACGATAAAAATATAGTTTCATAAAAACAATTTCAACAAGTTCTACAAGGCTGTCAATTTTTTTATGAGCAAAGTAAAGTGTGCGGTCACCGTGAAGAGTGAATGGGCAAATGATCTCACAAAAAACTAGGAGATATAGTCAATAAAGCCAATAAAGTCAATAAAGTCAAACATTTCGATATTTATGTGTATTTTATTCGACACGAATAATGAATTACAACACAACGGAGGAGATTTTTACCCCTAATTATCCCTATTGCCTAAATGTTGTTAAGAAAAAACCCATAATAAAACCCATAATAATGGGAAAAAGAATTAATCTTTCTAGCCGCCGGGATCGAACCCTTAACCCCCGACTAGGAGGCAAGACTCCTATCCGGTTTATCTAAAGATAAAGCTATTTATCTAAAGATAAAGCTTGTTAAACTAGTATTGAACTATTGTGTTCAAAAAGATTATTGACAAGAAAATCTTCCAATAACTTTCACTTTCAGATCAAATCGTTATTTTGATTGCTAGCAGAAGAAACGTGTTTTGCAAATAGTCATTATTTTCTAACTGTAAAAATTGGAAAAGAAATATAGCCGTTGGGGTCAATTTACAACACGGAAAGACACAATCAAAGAAAAGACTTTCACTTGGTTGACTTTCACTTAGTTAGTTCATCTGTTCTCAAATCTTTTAGTTTAATCCACAAGTCTTTTACATTTTACTTTTATTTCATGGTTCATTTATCAATTTCCATTGATAAGTATCCAATTTTTAACGGTTCAACAATTTAAAAAACTAATCGATGAGCACTGATTCGTGATTTTTGTAAAAATAACAATTTAGACTTAAAGATCAAGAAGAAAACTCATTTTTCTAGTAAAATTTAGTTAGTTTTTATGCTTCAAAAGCTTCAAAAGCCGATCTAGAATAGTTTATCTTTAGAACGATTTAATTCTAATTAAGTATTGATAAACGATTAGCTATTCTATAATCGATCCCTTTTTCCCCAAAAAACGACCCCATTTTCACCCCAAAAACGGCTGATCTGTCAATCAAATGTCAGTCTTTTTTTTGGGGCAAAAAAAGCGCGCATCTCTCATCAATGATAACGAAAACTTTGTCTTACATTAAACTTCAAAATTTTAAATCAATATCCTGCAAAAAGCTCTCTGTTATGTGAGAGAGCTCTCGTTCAAAGTGAGAGAGCTCTCGTTCGAGCTCTCGTTCAAATGAAATATTCACTCCAAAAGAAGAAGCAAACCAAAGAGTGGAGAAATGAAGAGGAAACACATGTTTCTTTAGTTTTATTTTTAGTTAAAAGTTCAAATCTCTTTTTTTAGTCTATACCGAATGAGTTGAAATCAAATAAAGACCAAATTCAACTAATAAATTCAACAATAAATCCAACTAACAAATAGAATCATCCATCTTTATCTGATCCTTTTTTTATAGATGAAGCTCTCGTTATGTCAGAGCTCTCGTTCAAGCTCTCGTTCTAAGTCTAAGAAAATAAGTCTTGCAATGGTTTAAAGCTTTTGGATTAGTTTTTGGATAGCTTTTAATCCTTTTTTCCTCATCATCAGCATTAAAATCGTCATCAAATTCATCAAATTCATCAAATTCTTCAAATCCTTTATCAAAATTTAGCTAAACTATTCTAAGATTGCTATTTATTATATGTTTTTGTTTTACAAATACCCACAACTCCTCGAAATTTCTATTACACTTTTGCCCTTCTGTTCAAAAGTACACGATCTGAACATAAGAATGAAAAGGACAAGAGATGCATTCTCTATTCCTTACACTCACCCATTCACTTCTCTCACTTGCGTGTACCCGTATATCTTTTTCTTCTATTCATTTACTATTTACTTGCCATTCTTGAGTCAATATAAACATCCTTTTTACCCTACTTGAGAACTTTTTTGATATAATGAAGTCTAAGAAGGTCATTTAGGTGTTGAAGAAAGGAACTAACCAGATAAATCTTTTTTTTATAGATGATAAGAAGAAAAACTGTCTTGCAATGGTTTAAAGCTTTTGGATTACGGGTTTTTGGATAGTTTTAATCCTTTTTTCCTCATCATCAGCATTAAAATCGTCATCAAATTCATCAAATTCTTGAATCAAAGCGTGAATCTACTGTTCAAACACGTGGGAGTGGAGAAACGGTCGTTTCTGACAAAATTTAGCCTTTTTCATGTCCATCTCTACCAAAAAGACCCACAGATTACAGACATGCAGAGAAAATGGAAAGAGAGATGAAAGAGAGATGAAAGAGAGACTGGCAGCCACCCAGAGATCCCTTTCTTCCTTTCTTCCTTTCTTCCTTCCTTTCTTTCTTTCTCTGTTCCTCTTTCCACCAAAAGCCCTGTCCATTTTCCACACACAACACGGAGTGATCGGCTGTCACGACCCGCACAATGCCAATCATTTTTCCTATTTATTAAATGTTTGACCTATCAATGATAGCTTTCTTAGCTCATTTATGCATTTATTAACAATGCCTAACTTTCAATATTGATCAAACTAATATTGTTTCATTGGATTTTCATTTTCAGCTTTAAAAGTTATCCAAAGTTAAAAGTTTTCTTCATTCCTCCAAAACAGTAACAAGTAGAAACTTGTTACTGTCTTTTATCGTAAAATCGAAACATCGTAAAATGTCTTTTATCTTGATATTTTAAATCTATTTTAAATTGAAATTTAAATTAAACCAAATGTGATATGCAGCTGTCAGAATTGTCAGCGGCTTTCTGAAGCAAATTGAGATCGTATTTTTTTATTAAAACCTTCTTTATAGTTTATAAAACCTTATCTCAAAAAAAAAGTTTTACCTAACTTTTCTTTATTCTTTTTTATCAAAAAGTAGTTCAATTTTAAGAATATTAATCAATTTTTGGTTTTAAAAAACTCCCACTTCTTGACCGATAAATGAAAAAGAAGAAAAGGCGGTATTTTTGGGAAAATCCACTTTCGTGTCAGTAGAGGATAAGGGGTGCTGACTTGAGGATTTGATGAAGAAATAGGAAAAGAGGGACGAGTAACTGTCTCTCTTTAGTCTTTTTCTTTTTCTTTTTCTTCTTTCAAACACTTCTCAACACTTTTCACGCATCTCATTTACTCTTTTTGATTGCATAGAAACTTGAGAATTTTTTTGATACTTCCTGCTGTTTCATTAGAGTTCATCTCTTGTTTACTTTGAAAAGCTATT